ATGCCTGCTGATATAACTAGAAAATCGATATGTGCAAGGCATCTTCTCTGTAATAAAGCTTTGAAATACCCAGTTATCCAGGTGCAACCTTAAGTAGTCTGTTGGAGACTTTTTACAGCATTTAAGTTGCAAGTTGAGCACTTAAAAGCTAAGGAATAACAGCATTAATGTGGTTGATGGAACTTCAGTTCTACCCCTTATACAAGCAGATTTCAAACTGACTCTGAGTGACCAACTGCATAAATTATTTTCACAGTTTGTCGACACCAACTTCAGATCCACAGTAATAGTATAATGCACTTGAGCTTAAAGGAATAAATGATTTCAGAAGGAAATTTGCCCTTTATTCTTTCTCACATGATAGAATATATTGGGCTGCCACTGTTTGTGATTGCACAGCAGGGGATATACCCAATAGCTCTACAGTGGAATGTGTGAGATGTGTAGGCACTGTTAGGGGTGTTTCTGGTAGTGACAAGGAAAATACTGATTCCATTGTGGAAGACACAAGTATCAGTATTGAAGAAAGCTGCCTGAGACTGCAGCTAGGATAGAGACTCAAGGAAGATGAAAGATAAGCCATGATATGTTCTTTTCCTCACAAGTAGCAGAATTAAAGATATTTAACTTAGCAAAACTGGCACTCGGAGTATAATTATTCTTCGTGAATGTTTTGAGGTCTATTATTCACAAAGGAAGGAAGGTTACTGAAGCTGCAGGACAGTACTATAACAAGAATAGGGAGTGTGTTGTCTATGAGAGCTTTTAACCGCTTTCCTCAAGGTTCCTGCGTGCATAAGCGGTCTGTGTGTGGCTATGTGGTGCTGCACCCAAGCCAAGAACACAGCGTGCTGAAAAATGTGCTGTGGAAACACCCAGTGGAAGCCAGTGACTGGCCCTGAGTTGGCCAGAGGAACACTCCTGTCCATCCAAGGTGACCCTGGGCAGTCGCTGCACTCTCTGTATTGTGCTGTTTTTTCTACATCCTCATCTTTGCATCTAATGCAGGTTGGTGCTGCTGAACTGCCTGTGAAATGAACTCACAGAACTAAGATAATTATTGGCTCAAGCTTTGTGCTCATGAAAGTGGCTAAACTGCTTTGGGATCCGAGATTGTCTGGTCATATTCTTGCAGTGTGTGACACTTCAGTTGAGCTGATAAGCCTACTGGACTTAAATTGTCTGATCATGGAACCAGCTCGTGGATGTACTACGTTTAACATACAGAACTGTGGCAATACTAAATGCTTGAACGGTCACTATAATGGAGTCACAGGAAAGTGGAAAACTTGCCAGCTCTTCGTTTTAAGAGCCAGAATGATTAATGTAAAAACCCTGTAATTGTAATCTGTATTCAAATTTTTAGAAGTCCACCTCTAATGCAAAGACTGTTATAGAGTCTTACTGGTATAATATTGCAGTGAGGATCATCTACGTTTCAAAAAAGCCATCAGTGCAGTGGTTGGTGTTACTGATATACCATGTGCTTGTGTCCCTGGTAATACACGGGTTGATGAGCTTGCTTAGATGTGGAGCATTCATGAAATGCTGATACAGGCTAAGACTTCGTCCTGTGTGTGCTTTGTAAAAAGAAGTGTATGTGTGTAATGTACTGTGCAGTATTTGACTTTAGACAACTGCAATAAGAGTAGCATTGCTTATATCCTAGTGGTTTAAGGATACAGTTAACTATTATGAACTGAATCGTAGAAGTGTACCTATTTATGTAAACTATTCTTATTGCATTGGTAACAGCATTTGGTTATATGCGGACACACTTGTGTGCGTATTGGAACTGCATAGCATAAGTCTTGCTAATCCTTGTTCTTTGCTCCTTATAGACAATGAATGATTTTGACTATTTAAAACTACTGGGCAAAGGCACGTTCGGCAAAGTTATCCTGGTCCGAGAGAAGGCTAGTGGAAAATACTATGCTATGAAGATTTTGAAAAAAGAAGTCATTATTGCAAAGGTGAGGAAGGTTGTAGCTTTAGTATTGGATCATTTTTTTGAATGGAATAATCAGCATCTAATACATAAGGTGTATTTGATTTTTTATGGTAACCGAGTTTGATAGAAATATGTGTGTATCTTCAGAAAACAAGAGTACAAAAAAAGCATGTGTACCCATTTTGTATGCCTTTTTCTGATGTCTTATCTAGAATGTGCTAAAGCCTTGAGAGAGTTTAGTGGGCAGCAAGTTAGTGCAATCCAAATTTACAACAAGAAAAAGTTCATTGTAGGGTATATTGCATACTTCAAAATTTTTTCTCAGTAACTGCAGGTTTATTCAGAGAAATGCAGTTAATTAATCAGCCTGTGCTCCGTTCCTGATATGTTAGCTAAGATGGCTGTGCATAGGACTAGCAGTTTCCTTTTTTTCAGTTTTTGAGGAACAAGAAAAGTCTGAAGCTGATTGTCTGAGGAAGTGGTTTAAACTGGCATTGTTGAGTCACTTCAACTTGATTAGTTTAGTGTTGCTAGCTCTTCTGCTTGGTCATAATTTTACGAAGTTTAAACTCAGAGTTCATCTGCTCGGAGCTTTGTTTCTAGCCATTCTAAAGCTTTGAATCCCACTTGCACAGAGCAAGTTGAGAGCGAGAAACCTACATGCTCTTGTTACCATGAGATGCAGCTAAAAATAATCCCAGTTGTTAAGTAAGGAGATTTTTGAGGGATGTGGATCTGACTGACGATTTTGAGTGCTCGAGGCTAACGATACCAATATTTATAAAAACTGAATATGGATGGGAACTACCATGGTTTACATATATTTTATTTTAAAATATCCTTCAGATTTTTCTAATTTTCCTATTGGTCTATGAAAAGAGGGCTTACAGAGTTCTGCAGTCTCAGTTCATTTGTCTGTCTGTCACTCACTTTCTGATAACTTTTGAATGTGTTGATCAGTTTCGATTAAATTTGATAGAGGAGTAAGAACCTCAAAACTGATTATATTTCCTCGAGTTTCATTAAAACCAGCCCTGGTGCAGGGGGAGAGACTTAAATTTCTGTCTTCAGCAGAGTAACCTGTGAGTTCTGCCTGCCCCAAGCAGCTGTCTGCGTGCAGTGGCAGGCTGGCTGGCACGCGTGTGGCTTGGAGTCACAGCAACGGAGCACCCTTTCCTTCGTCAGAATCAGGAGATACAGAAAAAAAAGAGGGTATCGCTGCTGTGCTCTCCTGATTCTGCACGGGAAGGAGCGTCTCAGTGGCCCTGCTTGTAAGACTTTATAACGGCAGCAGTCTCTGCGGGTCTCGGAGTCTGTCGGGTTGCTGCATGTCATGGCCCGGTCTCCAGCCTGACGCCCTTCCCCAGTGCTTTGCTTACTGGTGGCACCCAGGGGGTCCTCAGGGGTGGTCTTATATCTGACTGCTGTGAGCCCTTGCTCTGCTGCTCCTCGTTTATAGCCTTCCAGCCTTCAGAGCATTTCAGCTTGCTTCTTTGTATCAATAAAAACAAAACCCACATTTCTGAATTTGAAGGTTTCCCCTTTTACTTTGCTGGCTGCTACAATATCACTGAATTGTTAGAAGGGTTAAAACTGTTGCTCAGGTAACTTTGTCTCTCTCTGTTGAGCGAAAATTCTTGTTCGTATAAAGCCAGAGAAATTTTGAAGAGATTGGAGATACAACTCTATCTGTTTAAACTATCTGTTTACCTGAAAAGAGAAAGCTAGCTCAGTGATAGATTGGCCAGAACCTGACACTCCCTGAAGCAGACCAGGGTCTGTTTTTCTGCCTATTTGTAGACTAAAGGAAGATGGAGTGTGTGAGGAGACATGCCTTTCATCCTGTGACGAACATGGGAGCACCTCGGTTGTTTAAATTTTACTTCCTCAGAACTGGAATTTTGTTTTGAAGGGGGTCGTCCAAAGTTTTCCATAGTATTGTTGTATATTGATAAGAAACAGATGAAAGAATAAAAACCAGACTGTGCTTAGATCTTCACAAGGGAAGTGATCATGGTTTTTTGCCCTACATCAGGAGATACCAGTTTCACCACTCCTCCCCAAACTAAAAACAAAAGCAGACTTTAGCCTGAAGTTAGCTGTCTAGCCCAGTCAGGGTGGAAGGGGGTTTAAGTAACATTGAACTCTGAAGATCAGTGGTAAGGATACAGTCACTAGGTAGAACAGTTCTGCAGTCCCAACTCAGCCTAGAATGTGATGTAATACACACTATAGAAAGTCACACCTATAACAGCATAACATGAAGCAGAAAAGTGGTGCTGTGACAGCTGTATCTGGAAGGCTGTATAGCATCTGCCCAGTTCAGACTAAATCTGTTGATCCTAAATTTTCATGACAGGTTAATATTACAGTTATCAGGGAATTGCTACCAGTATTGCAAACTTCTGAGGCAATGCCAGGAAAAATGGCCACTGCCAGCTTCATGCCCCATGTCTGTTGAACCACTGAAATTTAAAAACAAATAAATAAATAAAACTACAGGCTTGCTTTTCTCCTTGAATTTTTTTTTGGTTTTCCCCTAGTATGTGGTTGTAGTGCATACACTCGGTGTTGGACTGCTATGCAGCTAAATGGCATCATTAATTTATTACCACTAACTCTGTTGTTGTTGATTAATTTCCTATTTTGACAATTTTTACAGACTAATTTAAAACTCCTGACATCTGTGTTTACATTCTAGTTTAATAATACCTTATCTTCAGAGCATAGTCTGATAAGTATGTGCAGTACAATAATTTTGTATTGGTATTATTTGTAGCAGTAATAAAGTATACTCTGACTAAATATATTTACTTCTGCAGCATTATGCTTGAAGTTTGAGTCGCACTAAGTTAGTCTTCAGGTCTGTCTGATGTAATCCTCAGCAGTGGCTTAGCGCTACAGAAAATGGCTGAACCACCCCAGCGGCGCTCAGGCTTGTTCGGCTGGCCTGGGGAGGGGAGATTCACGGCATGTATTACATGCAGAAGTGCATAAAATGGCCGTGTATTCATTATACGAACCTCCTACATGTCCTGCTTTTCTCCCCAGTCCTTGGGAGCTGCTCGCTGTTGTAGCGCAGGGCGAGCCCTCTTCCCACCATCATACTCTTCCCCTGCTCTGCCTGTCAGTTACTACCTGTGTATGTTCCTTGCAGACTGATGCAATCTCTCTGTAGATGTGTCGTTCAGGTGATTCATACCCGAACTGTGAAGTTGTGATGACTGTATTTTTAAACTATCAAATTGAATATTATCATTTCTTCCTTCCCTGCATTGGATATAAAGTTAGACTTCATTTGAAAGCAAGAAAATAAGAAAAAGAAAATCAAATTAAATACATTAAATTGTATTTTGTCGAGCTTAAATGTACTCTTTTCTCAAAAAACGTGAATTATTTTTCATGTTTCTTTCAGATTCATTTATTTTCCAAAACTGTACCGTAGCTTTCTCTTTTCGGGAGTGTTGACCTTTTCCTCATAATTAATTAAATAACAATTTTGTATTGTAATTCAGACCTATTTCCTCTATTTTTCAGGATGAAGTGGCTCATACACTTACAGAAAGCAGAGTATTGAAAAACACCAGACACCCTTTTTTAACAGTAAGTATTAGGAATTAGTTTTAAGAACATTAGCAGGTAATTTTCAATGTGATGGGTATTCCATTATGAGCAAAATTTACAAACAAATTTTGAAGTCTTTCCCATGATGATTTGTAAACAAGCAGTAGCTATCTGGTGCTTATGATACCCTTTCTCAGAATATGTATGTGAGAGTTCAGAAACAAAATTTCTAATAATTTTGTAAAGCTTAACTGCACTGAGAACAAATTTAGTTGTAGAATATGACTGTTGTGCAATTTTTGCATATGAACATTTTTTTTTAAAAAGACATTGATTTCACATAGTGTCAGATAAGTAATTTTTACCAAGACAACTTAATTAACAATTCAATGAAATTATAAAAATAACTGTATGTTCAACAGAAGTAGCCCATGGGGCAATGAAACTGAAATCCCCCTGCTTCAATATCTTTGTCTTCATATGATTAGTATCTAACGGAAGGAAAATATTGAAAAAAAGATGAAAATTTTGAGATTCATGGCAAATTATGATTGATAATTTTAATTTTACTACTGACTTTCTTCTGTAGAAGCAATTCTGATTCCTTTGAGAATATATTAGAAAATATTTTAATTGATTTTGAAATATAATTAACGTGATGTATTTAAAGATTTATTTTGTATTAAAATATCAAAGTGTAACATGGAAGCTTTCCTATTTAGAAAATTATAAACAAACCTGTTAGCAATCAAAGGATTACATTTATATTTCTTGGACAAAATATTCTTGGAAATCCTGTCAAGAAAAATGAGATCTCCAAAAGTTTCTTAAATTAGAGTGTAAAGGTAAGCAGGAGCAGGTGTAATCCCAATCCAATCATGCAACAGTGTCACTGCAGTTGTATCTTTATATCTTTCTGCTATTATTAAACAAATATCTTAAGGAGAGATGCAGTATTTAAGTCACATGAATCTCCTTATGATTTTGTTATGTGTAGTTCTCCTGCATTTTATTTCTTTTAGGCCAAGCCCGCATCTGTAGACTTTCTTTGGTATCATTTTTCCAAGCAAAATCAATTCAAGTAAAATTGTAATGTTTGTTACAATTTTAAGATGATATGAAAATAAAAATACTCATTTGGCATTCTGTTTTGAACATTGCATAGTATGTGAAACTAGGGAGTTCTTGCTTTGGAAATAAAAACAGGCTAGAGGTTAATATCACTTTTAAGATATTATCTGTGAGAAATTAGAAAGAACATGGTAGTCTCTCCCTTCATGGGCGTTGTGGAAGTAGACATCATAAAATATGATGAGTGAGAATAGCCGGTACCATCTACGGCAGTAAGAAATGCAATAGAAAAATGTGCACTTTAGTAACTATTTAGTATTTTATTATAATAAGCAAGGTGGTTTCCTATCAATGGCCATATGGCAGAGATGAGGGAAGACATGAAGGTTTTTTGTGTTAATTCATCTCAAGCTCCAGACAGGAAGTTACACTTTTAATTACTCTGAAAGTTCTCACCAAGTCAGGATTGTTTGCTTAAGAGGATAAAATTAAATTTTGTTGCAGTTTAAGTGCAAGAAATTGGGTTAATACGAGATGATAATTGGTTTGGTTTTGCTGTTTTCTTTGCAAGTCCTTGAAATATTCCTTCCAGACAAAGGATCGTTTGTGTTTTGTGATGGAGTATGTTAATGGAGGAGAGGTAAGTTTCAAAAAGATGTTCTGTGCTTCTAATGGTAATGCTGTCACTGGGTTACACTTTAAAGGTTATAATTTTTTTGCCTTTTTTGCTTTCTAGTGTCTTTGAAAGGCTTTTTTAAAAAAAAAAGTTTAAAAATTGTTTTATTTTAATAAAATGTAGACTTGTTTTATAACTGTGCTGTCAAAAGTAGTTCCTATTCTTAAAAAAATTAGACTGTTGTATCTTGAAAGGTAATTTCATGGTAGAGGAGTAATTACAAATAGCTTGCTTATTGTTTCTTCTTCAATCACATCATAGCATATTCTGGCATTAAACGGTCATAATCTAGTGCAAACAAGCAAAAATAATGTTGACTAGTCTTGCTTTTGTCCTGATGTGAAATAGGTGCTCTCTTCTTTGCTATAGCCGTTGCAAATACCGATGACAAAAGAGTGTTCATATTTTTCATTACTTCTGTCCCCTTCACTTGCTTTGTACTCTGGAAATGTCAACTTATGTGCTAAACTTCTTACAGTGTCATTAACCTTTAAGCTGTTACAGTCCTCCAGCTGTTTACTGAAGAACAGAAGATTAAAAACTCTACTCATCAAATGAAATTAAAGAGAATTGCAATCTAAGAAGAGGTCTTTTATCTTCCTCTTAGGTGGTGTTTGCTATTCAGACTCGATCTTGTTACAACACGAACTAGGGGGTTTTTCCTTATTTTGTCTACTGTATGCTGCATAATAACGTTAAAGGACTAAGTGTTTTCACTAGCTTTTTTTAACAGAAAACTGTTTCTTCATTCAGGAATTGTTGCCGCATGATGCCATGTTTTGCGTTATCCTTTTGCTGTGTTCTCCTACAATAAAACTGTCTTCACCTATAGCCCTAACACCTGAGTCCCCCCCCCCGAGTGCCCATCTGGAGTTCATTGCTCTGGTGATTTCTGGGCCCAGCCTGAGACCCATTTACATCCTGACTTGTCCATGGCCGTCCTCTACCAGCCACGGCTTGCCATGGTGCTATAGGGTTTTCATATGGGGGATGGCTGGTTTAACTCCATGTGTGTAGGCCCAGTTCTGGACATCACAGGCACTGAACCATTCTGGCTAGTTGAACTAGATGCAGAAATCTCCCTTGGCAGTAATGGGGTGACAGCCTTCTCTTGGACACTCAGCTGGCGTATTTGACATTGAGCTTGTGTCACCAGTATTGGGTCCGTGCTATCTACAGTGAGTTTGAAAAGTGATGCCTTATAAACTAGCTGATTCTTCTTCGTGTTCCCTGTGTAAGACCTTAGTGCGTTTCTGTAATCTCAGGAGATGCACTTTAAAAGTTTGTAACATCAGCCTGTCATTTAGATACTCGTCTTTTTGAAAGGTACATTTCTGTCCTGTTGGAATGCAGAACAGAGGCCACAGAGAATGTTTTTGACTCCTGTCTTAGGACTGAGGGTACTCTGACACTGTGTTTTGGTCAGGCTGGTATCTTGCATTCCTCGGCAATGGCTGGTGCACCTTTGTGGCAGCTGCTGCCAACGTCATGTGCCGTGGGCTGCTGGGCGGCAGCCTGCTGCTGCTGGTTGGGGTTTGAATGACTGCAGTGTACTTTGCTGAGAGCGGGTTGCTTTTTTCTAGGTACCATGCTCTTGTTTGTCAGTGTTGCTCATGTTCTTTGCAGATGGTTCTCTAATTCAGTGAAGCTAACCGTCAATTTTTGCCACAGTGGCAAATAGTGGCCTTTCAGAGTAGGCAGTCTTCTTGAAGGAACTCTCTTGATTTGCTGATGTGCTGCTTGTTGGCTAGAGATCTGGAATAGTAAGTTGGACAAGCTGTCCTTTTTAATAGGAAAATCTTCAATCTTACCAAATTTTCCTGTGAATCTCCGTCTTCAGTCGCTGTCTGCTAAGAGATACAAAGGACTTCATGTGTGTAAAAATAGCCTTGCTATTAACTCAGAACTACTGCAAGTAAGTTGCACAAAGTTTAGCCAGCATTTTAGCCATTTGTAAGCATATCTCCTGTACAGTACACAGACTTTTTTCTTTAGTTGCTTCTCTCTGTGCTCCAAGGAATTTTCATTTCCTTGCAATGGTTTCTTGCTGTTGAAGGTGTTGAAAACTTGTCTTTTAATTATATCCTTCCAGTGGGAAATTGACTGTAGCAGTTCCATGTTGCTTTTGATTCTCTCCAGAGCTGTACTAGCTTCAGTGTGTTTCTGTTCAAAATTCCTTTAGATTAAAGATTTCTTTTTAGTTAAACAGTTGAGCCTGAGTCAATTGCTTGGGAATTTTCGTAGCTTATGTCTTTCAGGAGCACATTACCCAAATAGTCCTCAAAATGAAGGAGTTCTTGAAATCTGTGTCCATATTCTTGACTCTTACCCAGGTGAAAGCAAGAAAACGCCACAACTTAAGCTTCTGCCCTACTACAGTAATAAAAAGTGTAGTCAGTACTAGGAGTCTTCAGTTCTTCTTCCTATGGTTAGGAAGGAAAACGGTCAAGGAGAGGGTCACTAAATTTCGTTCTGGAGGAGAAGAAATTGTGTAAAATCGTCTATACCTGTTAAAAATCTAGATCCATGTTGAATTTAATATCCCACCAGAATAGCAGCAATTTGTCTTTGCTTTAGCTTGCCTATGTAACTTCAAATTAGTTAGACTCAGTTAATAAGCGACGACGTCACAGTGAAGGTGTAACTGCCTCAATTTTACTGCTCTATGTGTGTGCTTTTTTACAATGTACAGAGTATTACTGTATCAAATTCTCTTTTGACTTCCTTTAAAAAAAAAGCCTATTCTGTAGCTAAATATATTAAAACAAAACATTAGAGGATTTTCTTCAAGCAAATTATTCAGACAGAAATATTGAATATGTTTGTCTTACACTGACAGCTTTTACAGTTCATTTTCTGCTGCTTAAGGGCCCAATCTTAAAATCTTTGTTGTGGGTTGAAAGCTTAACTTTTTTAGTGTTGCTGTTGGACTCTGTGGATGAAACGTCTCTTGATAAACTATGTTGCAGTATAGAGCTAGAAGGGTACTTCTAACATTGTGATTACTTCTCAATACCTTTGTTATACTGAAGGAATTACAGTAAAGTAGCATTAAGACATTGAAATTTGATTTTAGAAAAAAAAACCCTTATCTGGCTTAGTTGAGATGGCCAAATTCCATTATCAAGACTTTGAAATGGTATATTTTGTGGGCGTGTGGTGAAAAAGTACATGCAGTATAGCATGGTAAACTGCGTTCTTTACTTTGCTTCAAAATACAGAATATTCATGTAAATGTTTTTAAACAAGTAAAACTGCCAGTATTTAGTGATGAACACAGGCCATCTTTAAAGAAAAGAAACCCCTTTTGCTATTCGTTTTTGTACATTTTTTGCTGTCCTTGTCCTATCAACATTTTGAAAAAGATGAGTAAGGCTGTCTGGACGGTTTTCCTGTTAGCACTGAGTTGCCTATTCTTCCTGTTGTAACTCATGGGATTTTGAGTCCTATGTGACTGCAGTACGTTAGTGGTACGTTACAGTGTTTCCCCAACTTCCAGGCCATACAGAATGGTGTAAACTGCGGTATAAAAAATGATATTCTAAGAATGGCTTTTTATTGTTGGGGAATACTTTCAGAGTATATGTTTCCCATGTTTTATTTCCAGTATTTTGCTTTAAAGGTTGAAAAGCTTTAGGAATTAAATCTATTACATGCGTTACTCTGCAGAGCACACTGATTCAGCTGACTAACAAGTTGATTAACTTCCTTGCTTTGCTCTTTCAGGATAATTCCAAATTCCGTAGGTTGTTATGAACTTAATTGGTGATTTTCCGTATAATAAAATTAGACTCTAAAATTTGTTCAAATGGTTTCTTCACACTAGAATTCTAAATCTCTGTTCTTTGGCTTTTTTTTTGCCACAACAATTACTTCAATTCATTAGGCAAGAGAGAACTAAGTGGTTTGTTGTAATAGAACAAGTGTTATTACTGTCTAGAAAAGAAGAAAGAGGATTTACAGCCTACCTAATGAAAAATAACTGAATACTGTTGTAAGCTTTGTTGTTTTTTTCTCGGTTGTGTCCTGTTTTGTTTTCCTAAACTCTACGCAAATGAGAATGTTCCTTAGCCTAAAATTACAATAGTCCAAGGTAAGGTTGTTACATTTCTTTGGATATAGAGTGTGCCTAGAAGCAGTCTAAAGTCTGAAACAATAAACAAAGAATTCAGAATTTCAAGGCTGCTACTGCAAATGCTCTGCAAAAGAGTCAAATCAAAGGTCAAATATAAAATGTGTTGAACTGCAGAGCTGAGCAAACCCAATCTACATCAGCAAGAGCCAGTCATACAACTTTGAACATGCTAAATAGGTCACTAGCATGTGTAGATGTTTAACGTATTGATTGATATAAGGTTGTTTCTTTTATATATTTGGCATGCTTGGATCAGCAGTTGAATATACTTTTATGTTTGATCTTTGTTTTTATTTGTTAAAATTTTTCCATTAAATTTTTTTTACTAGAAGAAAACCCCATGGCAACATTGTTGATCAGTTTTTAAATAAAGACATACCAGGAAATTTATAGCTCCAGTCCTCACTGTAACTATAGCACCCTCATGTATGCCATCAAAAATGTTATGTGCAAAATGGCTTTCTTTGTGCCAAAGCTATTTCTGTTGCAATTCCAGTGACTTTATAGCACATATTTAATAACTGTAGATCAATAAATAGTGCAAATGTTGGAAGCTTTTTTCATAACCTTCCATCAGATTTCTTCTTTTCCTTCCTGACTTAATATATCTAATCTTCATGTTCTGATAATTGTAAATAGAGCCTAGTGGCACATTTATTCCAAAATAGTGAACCAACTAAATAATTAGCTGAAAATAATTCTGTAATCTCACTGATTTACATTTTTCTATTATGATTTTAAAGTTGGGTTTAGTATCTTTAGGATATATCCAAGTGTATAAATTCCCTTTTAACATGCATTTTTGTATCTAAGTGTGCATTCTTCATTCAAAGCTAGCATGTATGGTTTGATGACAACTCTGCTGGGTGCTACAATGATATGAAAAATGTTTATGAAGAGTGACTGTAGTGTCATATGTAATGTTAAAATAAACTGACTTGGGAACTCATACTCTCTTTGGCAAACACGGAACTGATGCTAGTTGTTTCTAGCTGGTCATTTTACTTTGAAGTTAGTATTTTGAATGAATATCAAGAATACTTTGTTTGAAATAAAAATTACAGAAAATAAAATTTTGTTAACTTCTCAGGTTATCAACTCTCAGATTCAGAGCAGGACACTATTTTTTTATGGAAGCTAATACATCTGTTTCTGACAACTGCCCTGAGGTTTTAGAATTTTCTAAGACTTTGCTGCTCAGCTACTGGATTAGTCCCTTTCATACAGAAATTGCAATAGTCCTTTTGCATAGATATAAATGCTGGGCTAACTGGAGGTTATATTATAAATTTTTGGAATGTGTTTGCTATTTGTACACATTAAAACGTGATCTGAAAGTTGGCCTTTATTTTGACTTACTTGGAGTCCATCAAAAGAAAGAAAACTCTTAAAAATCACAGAATCACAGAATGTTCAGGGTTGGAAGGGACCTCTGTGGGTTATCTGGTCCAACCCCCCTGCCGAAGCAGGGTCACCTACAGCAGGCTGCACAGGACCCTGTCACTGGACACCACTGAAAAGGGTCTGGCCCCATCCTCCTGACACCCGCCCTTAAGATATTTATAAGCATTTATAAGATCCCTTCTCAGCCTTCTCTTCTTCAGGCTAAACAAGCCCAGCTCCCTCAGCCTTTCCTCATAGGAGAGATGCTCCAGTCCCCTCACCATCCTCGTAGCCCTCCGCTGGACTCTCTCCAGTAGCTCCTCATCTTTCTTGAAGTGGGGAGCCCAGAACTAGACACAGTACTTCAGATGAGGCCTCACTAGAGCAGTGTAGAGGGCGAGGAGAACCTCCCTTGACCTGCTGGCCACACTCTTCTTAATGCACCCGAGAAGACCATTGGCCTTCTTGGCAGCCAGGGCACACTGCTGGCTCATGGTCAACCTGTTGTCCACCAGGACTCCCAGTCCCTCTCCACAGAGCTACTCTCCAGCAGGTCTGCCCCAAGCCTGTACTGGTGCATGGGGTTGTTCCTCCCCAGGTGCAGGACCCTGCACTTGCCCTTGTTGAACCTCATCAGGTTCCTCTGTGCCCAAGTCTCCAGCCTGTCCAGGTCTCGCTGAATGGCAGCACAGCCTGCCGGTGTATCTACCACTCCACCCAGCAGTGTATCATCAGCAAACTTGCTGAGGGTACAAAAATGAGTGACATTAGTTCATTATTTGTGAAAGAGACCACAAAACAGACATAAATGTGTAAGTTACATGAATTTTATATTTTGCTTAGTTGGATGAAGATCTGCTTAGTGGTATTTGTTTCCTATTTAAATCATACGAAAACGTGTGGGAAAGACTCCACAAATCGAGAAATACATTTGTTCTTTTCCCAATTTCATAATGTGTGAGGCACTTCATGAAGGCAGACTTAGTTGCTGAATCTGTATGGGTCTTCTGTTTACGTTGGCAATTAAGCAGTTGTCAGTACAGAATGCAGGTTACTACAGGGAGGGCTGGTGTCACCCCCAGGGACTGGTTCTTAAACTGGGAAACAGCAGCAGGAGCAATTGAAAAACCTATAGAATAATGATCCTCCTTGTCATGCAGGTAGTCCATTTTTATATAGGATGTCTTGAGAATTCAAATAGAAATTGAAAGGGGAATGCATATGTAATGAACAAAATTGAAATATATTTAAATTATACTGCACTTTCTGTTTTCTGTGATGTCTCTCATATACAAACACATGCGCCCAAAGGCTCGGTGTAGTGGGAGGTTTGCTTTCTGAAGTGAAACTGTCAGGAAAGAAGTTGACTTCTGGTTGTTTATAGGATTGACTTTTTAATTGCATTTTGAGAAGTGCCCACACTGAAAACAGCTGCAGTAATTCTTACACTGTTCTGTGCCGTGTGAGCAGTGTAGATGTCCTACAAATGTAGGGTAGGGTGTGGCAGTGACAGATTAAACACATTATTGGTTGGTTGGTTGGTTGGTTGGTTTTGTGGGTTTTTTTTTACTTACCCTGCCATTTTGGAATTCTTGTCTACTTGAGATTTTTAGCAGTGAAAATAAAAAAAACGCATTGTTGTTATGGATTTCCTTGTCTATATTTAGTTTATAAATGATCACATTTTCTGTATTTCTGTTTTGTTGATTTTTAGCTATTGCGGTAAGATCAAAAACGTTGCAACTCGAAGGAGTAAGGCAGGCAGCCCATTTGGCCTTAAGCAGAACTCAGAAATGCATGCTCACTACTCTTTGTTTAAGGGCTTTCCCAAGCTTTATTAAGACAATAAATAAAACTAGCCATTTTAGAGAGCGTTTCAGTTAAATAGCCAAATTCTGCTTTTGTAGGTGTTGTTCCATGTTCAGAGGGTGGTGTTTTATCCAGGAAGGTGCTGCCAACCTTACAGAACGTCGCCTTAGGCTGTGTCATTGCAGCTGAAGTTACTGGCAATACATAATCACTAATATTTTTCACTGAAAGACTTCAGTTGAAAACGTGTCTGCAAAGTGCTGTTACTTATAAAGTATTAAAGAAGAGACAAAAACCCCAAAGAAGTGTTTTCACTGTAGCAAAGAGATACACTAAGTCCATAGATTCTTTTTTATTAGCCCTAAGCAGTTGTTGGTTTGCTTTTTCTACTAATATTGCTAGCAGTATGAATGCTGTGTTTGTGTAAAATGCCAGTTCACCTGTTCAGTCAAAATCTGCTGAGCAACGAGACTTTTCAGTTCAAAGAAAAGTTGTGAAATTACTGAAAAACTTAAGGCGGAAACAGAATCTGGGTATGTTCATAATATTTCTCAGTGGCTTAAAATAAAAATCAGAGGAAGTAATACAGGGAGAAAAGTACAGCCTGATGCTGCTGCATACTTTTTTTTTTTTCCTCTGGTAACGGAAGGTTAAATGAGTAGCAAGCAGAATGCCTTAAACAAGATTGGTATATTGATTAAAACGCTGATTTAACAGCTCGCTTTCTCCCTTTGGAAACCTGGAAAAGATAAGCCAGCTGCTGTCTAAGAGTGCTGAGTGTCCACTGAGAGTACCCTATCTATCATCACAATATGGTGATGAGAGGTGTTTTATGTTTGTGTTAATTTCCCCCACTAAATCAGTAATTATTACAATCCTGTCCCTGCTGTTTACCCTGCAGCTGTTTTTCCATTTGTCGAGAGAGCGGGTGTTCTCAGAGGACCGCACACGCTTCTATGGTGCCGAAATTGTCTCTGCCCTGGACTATCTGCATTCTGGGAAGATTGTGTACCGTGATCTCAAGGTAAAAAAAGAAAAAAAAAAGTAATCAAATTTTTGTTTTTGTAGAGACTATTGGGACAAACACAAAGTAATTATAAAGTTGAACTATTCAGAGTTAATGGGGAAAAAAAAAAATCTGTGTTTAGTTTGAAGTTCTGTATATGCTGAAGGAAGCTGTTTGATACAGTAATCTATAGATGAGTGCATTACTTGGTTAAAAAAAGTAACGGCATACCTTGGTGATAGCACTTGAAGGAGATACAAACTTCTGAAAACTTTTTTTCCCCTCATTACTGATAACTTAACTTGGATTGCAACACAAATCTCAAATACAACTCTCAATGTCCCCAAACAAATGAAATGGGGACAATGTGACTGCATTCTGTTTATCTCACCAAAGAGTTCTTGTATGATTTGAAAAGATTTAAAACAATTCTTCAATAGGAAAAAAAATTCAGCCTTAATTTAAAAATTATTTTGTCATTTGTATCTTGGGAAAGATTCATAATACTGGAGTGTAATTTGTCTTTGATTTTCCTGTGTGTACAGTTGTGTATCCTCTGTTGCCTGAAGCTCCAGGTACTCTGTGACACAGTATGGCCATGTTCTATGGAAAATAACCTCAGCTTTCAACAGGAACGTTTTCTAACTTACGTAGGAGGAACCTTAATCTTCCATGCCGCAACTGTTTTATTTCTGTGATAAGCCTTTGATTTCTTGTATGGAAGATTGTGCTTTCCCACTGTACATGTACACCAATGGAGTTTTTTCATGGACTCCTGCATACAGGAACCAAGGAGAAGGAGGCAGTGGTGGAAGGTTCTGCTCGAGGAGGCAGGCAGAAAACAAAATACTGGGTTACCTGTTTGTAGCAGAATCTGTTGTAATAACATGAAACGCTGTGACATCTTGGAAAGATATGGAATTGCCTGGTCAAGGAATGATAGGTCAAGATTTTTTATTTAAATTCTAAATAACAAGGAAAGAGGAATTTGACCTCATTAATCTTCTGTTGCTGGTGTCATCTGCTTTGCGTCTTCTTGGTATGACACTGTGAGACTCACCAGGAAACACATACCTTTGAACTGTGTTTCAGGCTTTATGCAGACCTAGGAAGACAGGGCTATGATAGTTATTTGTTGGTATTTTCACTACACACCTGAGAATTAGGGAAAAGAAAAACCACTACCTTTTTCTCTTAAGAAAAGTTGTTCAGAAGTATGTTTTACTTGTTTTTAATTCTATCTGTATTTAAAGTATTGCTAATAAAAAGCTTTTGGGAAAGTGATGTTAGCCGTGCTTTTGAGATAGTCCACAGTAAATATTTCAGTAGTTTTTATTCCTGTTCTTCAAATACTGCATCACAGACTATATTCTGTTTTCACGTTTCAAAGCAAGAGTCAACTATTTGGAAAGCAATGCAAAGCATGCAGAGGTACGCACACACAATTCAAGAACAGTGTCCTTTGCAAGAATACAAGGAGAAATTTACCTCAGGGTTTAGTTTTTGTCAGTAGCCTCACTACCCTGAATTTTGTCTGTTAGTGAAAAGGTTGGGGAAGATGCAGATATTTTAAGGATTTATGGGTATGTACTAACTGTTTCATTACAGTGTGGTAAGTAAAATGCATCTTGATAAATGAAGGTTATGTAACTGCAAAGGAAACCTATGAATTCTTACCAAACGACAGCCATGATTGTAACCTTGAATTATTTGATTATATCTTGAGAATATTTAGATAATTATTTTGCTTTCTTTCTATGGAAGATGCACAAAACCTGTGAAACTTCAGAATGAAAGGTCACATTTCGAGTGACCTGGGATTTACTATTGTAAACTGTACTAAAGTATTAAATAATAATTTAAATTGTGTAACAGAAACACTGTTAAATGCTGTAATATAATAGGTGGTGTATTTTTTTAACTTACAAATTCCAAGCAATAACTCTGTATCTTTTTTACAAAATTGATGTAATGCATCAGCCTGTCCTGTTAAGAAATACTAAGGGAACATTTTTTTTCCCCAACACACAGTTAGAAAATCTAATGTTGGATAAAGATGGACACATAAAAATTACAGATTTTGGACTTTGCAAAGAAGGAATCACAGACGCAGCAACTATGAAAACATTCTGTGGTACTCCAGAATACCTGGCGCCCGAGGTATGATTTAGAATATATTCTTGTAATACAATAAAATGTTCACTTTTCATTTAATTTTAGACTGTGATGTTTGTATGCTGAGAACTGTTCATTGTAGTAAAGAACTGACAGTCTGCCCGATTACTATTATACTGTTGTTAGTCAGAATTTTACGTGCTACTATTCTTTGTGGTGGTTGTATGTATATTAATGCTGTGCTTCTTAGTGTTTAAAAAGGCCTCTAACATGCGGTTTCCTTCTTATGTTTGCCTTCTTCTGTTAAAGTTTTTATCTTCCGATGATTTCTTCAAAAATAATCTTCCATCTGTCTGTCACTTGGAACATATGATCCTGCTTGACTGAGCTGTAGAACTAGCGTTTATATAGCCTCAGCGGAGGCGAGGGGGAATGGGGAGGTACTGAGTTTGCCGGGTTTTATCCGAACTCCCCAGTTGCAGGGAGAGGGATTTGAAATATTAGATGTTTCTGCTAACAACAGTTGAGTGTGTCAGCCTCAGAACTGGGGTGAGGGTGGGCACCAGAACTTCGCTGTTTCCTAGTACGTAAGGAGAAGTGGCATCCCAGAGTATGCCACCCCAGCTTCACTACTAGCTAGCACTCGGAGTGCCAAGCATCGCACTTCTCGAGGATTGATGAAAAGGTGGACATGGGGATGCTGTTTTCGTTCCTTTCGCAGCTCTGGTTTGGCCACTTGAGAACCTGTTGTGGAAGCTCAAGGCACTCAGGTGATCTGCTCCAGTGTTTGTGCTGACAGCTCTGCCACTGATGCCTACTGAAAAAAGGCATGAAAAACACTCTCAAAATTTTGTTTCTGTCCTGTCTGGCTTCAGTCAACAGTACTGATTGTGGTGCTCGGAAATGTCGTTCTGCCTCTACCCTGGGGCTGCCAAACACAACTCAGTATTGACATAAAAGGCAGCATTGTGTTTTTTACTTAATGCCAAGGATTCTGCGGATGCTGAATTAGCCCTTATTTCCATTATTGTCAGCGTTCAAGATTGCCAATTGACATATTCCACAGATGATACTGAGACAACTTTCTAGGCAACCTAAAGGGCTTTACAAGGCCCTTCAGTCATACTGTTTGTTTAAAAGCATTCTTCAAGTGATTTCCCCACCTTTTGGAGTAGCTCAGCACCACCTGAAAGTCACCATTACGTATCATCTTTGAAGAAGAATGTGTCTTTAAAGGGAGGAGGTGAGGATGCACTGGTTTAGTATAGCTCTTTACCTTCTTATTTTCAGGAGTATTGAATCCTGAGTAGCAGCAACAAGCCCTGGAGCCTCTTTCAACAAGCAAGTTTAGAGTGCCTTGCATTTTTTATTCTGAACCTTACAATGTCAAGGAAACGGTACACATCACCTTCTGGATACTGCTGGCTGGAAATGAAGATTTTAGGATGGTCAGGTTTGCGGGTTTGAGAGCCTTTCTAAATCTCTTAAAGCAAATTTGAAGACTCCTGTTTGCACTCAGGGAGGAAACTGAAACTGCTAATAGTTAATTAGAAGTTTATATGGTATGTAGAGTTAGTGAAACCTTTATGGATCATAGCAAAATCTTTTGATACATTGTTTTTCTCCAACTATAAAGGAAATACCAGTATTCTTAGGGGCCACTAACTTTCTCTTCATCCATCTGGTTCCATCTTGCTTGATTCTTTCAGCAGTGAAGAGAAGTCTGAGCAGTCGTGCTCTCACACTTCAGGTTTGAAGTGTTTAAATAATTTTGGTTGGTTAAGCGTGTTCATTTCGGCTGTTTGACGAGTCACCGGCTGCTCTAGTTACGAAGACAAACTCGGTAATACCTGGTCTCCTTTGCAGAATCCCATTGCATAGATTCAGGGATGACTTGGATGCAGACTGTTGCTCCTGTTTGGCAGTTTCTGACATCTCCTTTATGTTTATTGCAGGGACACTCAGCAGTTATCTAGATTTAAGGTTTCCAGAACTGTTCTTAGCCTGCTTTGAATCTTTTATGCCTCTTAGAAGTTGTTGCAGGTCCGCTTGTTTGGCTTGGTACAGTGGCCGCTTTTCTTGTGTTCCACACTCAGAATGTGTTCCAGCAACAAGAACAGCACAAGGGATGACACGGTCGTCACTGGCATAGACTACAGGTGTCATTGACAGCTCTTACCACCCGATTATCTTCTTATCAGCAGTCTTGAAAACATTCTCAAAAAGTGCAAATATCCTGTTCAGTTGCTTTCATCTACTTCTCCATCTCTTGCTTTTGGAAACTTGTTAGCTCTCTTCCATTGAACTTGGCAAGGGATCATGCTGGGTTTTAGACACCTACCACAAACTACTTTGTACAGTTTGCCTTTTTGTCCGCTAGCAGTCCCACTTCCCCACCTCCTATTATGAGTATTTTTGGAGACCCACCCTGTACAAATCTTTATTGAAGGAAATGGACTCTTCATTAGCCTTGGGAACCACAGAACTCATTCATTTTTACCTAAGGTAAAGGGTTTAGAGCAAGCGACCTAGACAGGTTACTGGTACGGCGTAAGAAGACTCAACACCTTTATCCACACATTCTTATTTAAAAAGGTGAAGTTAGCAGTATATGGACACCACTGCAAAAAATAAGCTTTCCCTTTTTACTCTCTGCTGCTACAATAGTGATTAGCAGTGCATTGGCTGGATTGCTCACCTGAGACAATTTTATCTGTTTTTATGCCTGGGACAGCTGACTGACAAAGGGACTGTCCAAAGGCTGGGTCCTCCATTCTATTAATGTGCATGTATCAGAGAATAAATGCGCAAAAATCACTTCTCGTTGCAGTTCAGGCCACAGAAACCATTACCGGATGCCAAAGACTTGCTAGCTTTTGACACATTGCAGATCATGAGAACCTAAAGTTTCACTGTGGGAACAGGATTGAAGTCCAGCTATATCCCTGCTTGTTCATCCGAAAACAAATGGCAGCATATACTTACAGAATCATTTAGGTTGGAAAAAGACCTCTAAGATCATCAAGCCTAATTGTCAATCCATCACCACAAAGCCTGCTAAACCATGTCCTGAAGTGCCACATCTACACGTTTTTTGAAAACCCCCAGGGATGGGGACACCCCCGCTCCCCTGGCCAGCCTGTTCCAATGCTTTATAACTCTTTCAGTAAAGAGATTTTTCCTAATATCCAGCCTAAATCTCCCCTGATGCAACTTGAGGCCATTTCCTCTTGTCCTGTCGCTAGTTACTTATGTTTTGCCTGGATGTGGTAAGCGTAAAGGCAGACACCTTCTAGCCTTTCTTTGGAAGCAAGGTATTCTCCAGTTACATGGAGAAATCCATTCACAGAATCACAGAATCACAGAATAGTAGGGGTTGGAAGGGACCTCTGTGGGTCATCT